AAACAACAAACATTACTTCAAACTTGTTATTCACAGATATTTCAAACAAGGATGACACATATTTTCTTCTGTGAAGATGTAACAAGTGTACATAAGCATGGGGAAAACAACACAGTGAATGTTTAATCATGCAACATGAAGATGCTATTAAAAGAAAGAGAAAAAGAATTGAGAATGATCTTTAGATCAAAAGATATATTTCAAATCCAGAACATCCGCTTTGGGCCGCTGCGTCGCCTTCCAATTTGTCAGCAACGAGAATTGAGCTGCTTTAGTTGGATGTGTAATTCTGCCTCCCAGGGGGCACTGGGACAGACCACCAACGCTTTTCGGCCACCATGCTGCTTCGACACAAGCAAAACAAAAGCACAAAGCTGCAGCGGGGACGCTTTGTAGCTTAGCTTTAATGTGGCGGCAGGCCGGCTGCCCCGCTGACCCGCAGCTTCGTCCTGCTGAAGACAACACAAGCACTGCACAGATCCGCAAAGTATCTCTTTGCTCGGAGGGGAAACGTTCAGAGTTTTCTGTCCTGACTGGGACCATACTGGTGGCTTTTACATTTCTTTAGTTAATTGACAAACCAAACATTCTTCAAACTTCTGCTGGGTATTTTACAAACCATCCTTATAGTTCAAAATTGTTTTGTTTTTTTTCCATACAGGCAGTATCAATTTGTGCAAAAGGAACCCTGAACGGAAACACAGGCTAAAAATGAAGCAAACAGTGCATGTGAGTCCCAGTTTGTGTTACCCACCAGCTAGCAAATCTCCGGCACTCTGTACTGCCCTCATATGGCGGTTCCTGCTGATATGGGGATGGCATCATTGTGGAAGTGTAGCGTCCAGCCTCTGGTTAACACTGTTAGCTCTGTCAGCACTCTTGCCATTGTTAGCATTAGCGCCTTGTGTTGCCGGTAACAGGTGCGCTGTCCTGTTTTACACAGAAGACAGGAGACATTTGTTGTGTTTGTTAAGCACGTTGCTCTCTGTCTTTATTAACACAGTTTATCTCTTCTTTTTTCCACTTAGTTTAAATGAACTGTTTCACAAACTTTGTCTTTCAGTTCACAATAATCCTTCATATTCACAGTTTCACACTTGAGTGTTTACATTAGCACACATAGGTCCATGAAGTCAGAATGGATCTAACCAGCTGCCTTAACACTGTAATTGAACCTGCTTTACTATTTTACTGCTTCATTAAACACATTGGAAAACATAAATGATCATACAGTAATTACAAAACACATCTGGTTATTCTAAATTACCGTAATATCATTACAACAGATGTACAGGTTTAACACTGACCTTTAACATGACCTGAATGAACGACTAGAAACATTCAAATACCTTTCCCATCAATTCACTCATTTAACGGTAATATATATCATATTCACTTAAAAACTGTAGAAAAGTACAAGTCAGGGAGCTTCAGTAGCAAAATAGGACAACAATGAAAGTAAGATGGCCACCTTGTCACATTGTTTACAGGGGAGCTAGCAGTGCAATGTGCAGGACACTTTGAAGTTTCTAACTTGACAAAAACTACTATTTTCCAGGTTCAACAAGTCCTTGAGCATGTTTTGTGATGATATAACAGACATTACTAACCTGTTTTCACACAGGAAAAGCAGACAGGAAGGTTGTGTTTGTTCAGCAGGCCGTTCCTGCAGCCCCACATCTTGCGCTCATCTGGGTCGATACTGCCACTGGTGTCGCAATTAAGCAACTGCACCTTCAAAAGAGCCACTTAAAAACCATTGCAAAAACATGTTCGCATGTGTACGGAAGTGTATTGCTGCCACACCAGGAAAAAGATAGTGGATCAGTATTATGTTACAAAAGTGAAAATTTTATTGTTCTAACAAGAAGTTTTTCACGTTATTACAATATAGTTTCACATTATAACAATATAGTTTCATGTTTAAACGTGATAACTTATATTGTAAAAATGTGAAAAGTTTAATGTTGTGATAATTTATATTGTAAGAGCATGAAAAGTTTCACGCTATAACAATATAGTTTCATGTTATCCGTATTTTGGACCATGTTGATACCTGTTCATTGCAAATAGCCAAGTGTCAAATCACAACTGGAGTATATGGGTGCACCTCCTCCAGAGACCAAATATCGCATTATAATGTAGAACTTTTAATGTCCTAACAATATAAATGATCATGTTTTAACGTGAAACTTTTCACATTTTTAAAATATTAATTATCATGTTATAACATGAAACTTTTCATGTTTTTACAATATAAGTTATCATGTTTAAACATGAAAATATGTCATTATAACGTGAAAATCTTCTTGTTAGAACAATAAACTTTACGTTACGTTATAACGTAATACTGACCCATTATTTTTTTTCCTGGTGGCAGCAATACGCTTCTGTACATGTGGCCTCTTGTCAAACAAAAACATAACACAACTTTACAGTTGTGACCATACATTTGTGGTCTTTATATATTGAGTTAGCACAGTTAGCTGCTAGCCACAGGCTCAGGCACCTCCATGTTGAGAACTGTGTGTAGACAATCCCGCCCCAGACTCTGAATCATAGATTTAGTTATTTTTTATTAAATATTTATTTGTATTGGAACAAGGGTGTAGCATACATAAATGCCACACACCACAGCATTTATAGCCAAAACTAATTTGCAATGCTCATCACTAGCTGGGCTTTGAGATACAAAAGACACAGCAAGAAGGACACAAGTAACAGTGCAAAGTACAAACAGCAACAGAAATACAGACAGAACAATACAAGACACAAACTGCAATACGTAATTAGCACCATAGAAAAGGAAGCACCAAGTTAGTCTGACGGCATAACTGATTCCTCCTCAAACACTGTTTCAGTTTGAGTTAAAAGTGATCGAAATCAGTATAAGATTTGAGTTATAGGTAAAGATAGGTAAAGAATTCTACATGTTAACTCCAGCTGTTCATCCAAATGAGGATTTACACAGGGGATCCTAACAGTTCCCACTGGCTGCTCCACGAATTACTGAGCCAGAACCTGTAAGTGGAGCCAAAAGGTCACTGAGCACCTGGGGAGCCTGATTATGTAGGCATTTATAGATGAGTTTGAAAATGGCAAAATTGAAATGATCAAAACATATTTAGTTTATAAAGAACATGGCAGCGATGTGCTCTTATTGGTTTCCTGTCCAAAATTTGAATTACTCAATTCTATATCATCATAAGAGACTTAGTAATTGTAGATGCTGCTTGTGACCAAGAGGTTACACAGTAACTAAAATGTGAAAAAATGATATCATGCATTAAACTGTTTGCAGCGTGAAATGGGAGACAAATGGAAGGCTGAGGTATTTTACCGCTAAGACCTGTTCAATATGCTGTCGATTAATATTTAGATTTAACACATTAGCTCCTGTTGATGAGTGAGCCCTGGCAGAAAAGCAAGCTGACACTATTTTCTTATATGTTATCAATGTCACATTCGGCTCCTTTAAACGCCCACCGAAGAGATGAAAATATCAGAACTGTGTGGAGCGATTAGGAGACTGTAACTTTCCTCACTTTAATGCATTAAACAAATATCACAACACCAATACCAGCATCCAGACAAGACAATCATTATTTTGTTTCCTCTTGTCGTGAATATTTGAGACATGTATAGCTGCAGCCACATTCTGTTTGAGGCTTACACGACATGTCCCTACATATTTGAACAAACCCACCAACACGGCAGGTATTTGAACCATGCTACAAGGTGACATTGTTGTGAACAAATATGAGGCCAAATGTAACCATAACCCACTTTATTAATTTACTTTGTGTATTTAAAAACATGCTTCACCTTATAAGTAACAAGATATTAACACATCATAGCTAGCTAAAAGCTAACTTAGCATTTTCTTCAGGGCTTTTGTAACGAGGAGCAAAGGGGGCTGATCGTGTAGGCATGGTGGGCATGTAGCTGGTGGACAGGTCATGTTGAAGCTGAAGCTACACCTCCTTGGAAAATCCTGGCAAACATTGACTACATTATGTAACATCCTGATTTTTGTAGAAACTCCAGTAAAGTTCAGTCCAGTTTTCACCTGGAGACTCTCTGTTTGGTCAACCTAGGTGAAGACAAACTACAATTCTTGCATATCAAATTTTATTTAACCTTTATTTAACCAGAATATGTTTGATTGCAATTAAATATCTGTTTCTAGGAAGACCATAAATCAAAAAAAAAAAAAGCTGCACAGGACCCAAAACACCCCAGAAAGAAAAGAGAACTCCTGCTCACTGGTGTTCACTTAAGACTGTGTGTCAGTCCATCTCTCACTGGTTTGACTTTCCTCCCTGTCTGTGGTTCAAAACTTTAAGCCCATTGGTTCCTACCCAAAATACAGACCCTTTAAAAACAGCTCACATATAGTTTGTTTGTTTATTCAGTCTCAGTAATTTTAGTTTTTATCAAACAAACAGGAGGAAATTTGTTGGGGACTATTTTTAGCGGTGGATTAATCCACATTTAGTGCTGTAGTGAGTATTTGGAGACAGTGTTTGTGTACAAATAAACTGACGTGTGTGTGTTCATGATAATGAAGGAACATGTCACCCAGGCAGGAATCGGTCAGCCTGAGGTCCAATTAAACTCCACAAACTGGATTCCATCAAAAGGCTGTTACCACTCCCCTCTCCCCTCCCACCGACCCGCCCGCCACACGGCAGAGACCTTCCTTTCTTCGCGGCGGCGGTGGCCATGACTGAGCCAAGGTCATGGCTAATCCGTAGAGGGGGGTTCTCGCTTTGTGTTGTCAGAACCAGGGGGGTCAGAGGCTCTGAAAGGCCGCGGCTCAGTTTAACATCTATTAGCAGAAAGCTGCAACCCCCGCAGAGCTGCTCCTATTGGCTGCTGTATGAGTGAGTGTGTGTGTGTGTGTGTGTGTGTGTGTGTGTGGGAGATGCACATTTTTATTCCTCTAGGATGTTGTATTGTTTTATCAATATTTCTACACAGCTAAAACATGCAACATCTTCATCTGTTGGTTTTGTTTAATGGCAATTTATTGCAATGTTCAAAAATGCTGACTATGAGGAGCAGCATTACTCTGTGCAGTTCCACAATGAATGTAAAGCTGTTCTGTAACACGTAAAATGACTCTTATAACATCAAAACAAGCTTCTTACAGTTTATTGCTGATCTACTGATAGTCGCCACGTGGATAAAACCAGCGGCTGGTTTAGTTTGGCCCCATTGTCATGCCTCAGATGTTTCTGGGACTTTCCCAGATATACGTTCATTTAAATAACTATTCTAATAAAAAATAAAATAAAATAAAATAAAAAGAATAGGAATATTAATATTAATCTGTGCAGCAGGTTGGGATCCACAAACTACCAAACTTCACTGTCTAATGTAAGTAAAAGCAGCTCCACTGACAGCTACTTGTGCATCGATTCACCAGTATTAACTGTCTAATAATGTAAAATATTTGCAGAATATAATTTGCAGTACAGTAGCTCAGTAAAGCCAGTTTATTTGTATATAAATCTACAATAGAGTTATCATGAAATTATACACTGGATATAAATTATTAAAGTTTCACCTTTTTCAACATATAAGACAACCCTTGCTTGACTCCTTCATCTGTCAGATTATTGCTGTTGAATGACTAGCTCTGGGAAACCCGTCCGTTCGTCCATCTCCCTGGTGAACTGCAGGTCGACCGCCTCGCCGATGACCACCTCGGCTGTGGTGAACACCTCCAGGTCTCCCATCACGTGACCCCCAACCGTCCTGCCCTCCCCGTCCGACAGGCAGATGTGGACGTGGGCGTCTCGGTTGAGTGTGCCGACCAGGGAGACGATCTCGAACCTCCCACTGAGGTGGATCACCTGAGGGGAAAGATCAAAAGTAAACACCATGAAACACGGACGCAGATACTGTAAAACCCTGGTTTATTTATAGTAACATAACTTTATTTATATATCTTGTAGAGACAAAAAACTCATTATAGGAGTTTCTAAAATAATAAATAAACATTTTTACTAAGAGTTAAACTACCAACTAGTAATGTATAAAATATGATAGATCAAATTACCTACAGCTCCACCAGCTACAGGAGTAATAGTAATGTTATTATACTTATCATCCTCAGATAATATAGTGTACAGTTGCATTGCAATGAAAGGGGCCTTTCTGCTGCCTAATGAGTACTTTTACTCTTGATATTTTTTATTACTAATATTTTTATACTGTTAAGTTAATTTCCTAATTCAGTAATCATTAATTTAAATGATGAGACAAAGTATAAAATTTGGACCTATGCATATGAAATAAACCTCAAAAATAGACACCTTCAACTATTACATTTTTTAAATTTAAAATTTAAATGATATAAGAAAAAAAACTGTTAAATTGTTAATATTTTCTGTGATTTACAATGACACAGGTAGACTTTAAATGAAACAGGCACAATAATGAGTAAATAGACTGTGTTATAGTTTTATATCTTATAATTTTCTGCTTTATCTGTGTATAAATATTGAAATAGTATTGTTTGTCAACCTTGAACCCTTAATAATCTTTAACCCTGAATATATTTTGAGAGATTTTTATTAAAGAGCTGAACATTTTTGGATGTGTGTGCCTTTTTTCTTGTAGTTTATATAGACTTGTAGACCTTTTCATTACTATTCTATTGGCAGGAATTATAGATTTGTCCCAATTCATTTCCTGTCAGCTACTACATTAGCAAACATTTCAACAGGAAATACAAATGGGCTCATTTATAACATTTATGTTGTCAGTCCAGAAAAGGTGTATAGCTGAGTTTTGTAGAAAATAAAACCCGATACCATGCCTGCGGACATTTTAAAGGTGCTAACCAAAGACAACAATAAACACAGACAGTCTATAATAATTAACTGAAATGAAGCTGGACTCCAGAAAGTGAATCTCAGGCCTTCATGCTGCTGTCAGGTACCTCATTTGTATTTGTTGCCGTGGCGTTGGCCAGCCGGAGTGTTGCCTTTGTGACGCTGCCCACACAGGTGATGATGAACGGCGCTCTGAGTCGCCTCTCCTCCACAAACGCCTGCAGAGATCCCAACAGCTCCTGACCTGGACCCAACCGGACCGCATGGACCTGCAGGGATGACCCTCCACCTGATGAACTCTGGGAGAAAAAATACATTTAAGATTGTTAAGTTTTTCATATTTCTTTTCATTTCTCTTACTTTTTTTCTGTTACTATTTACTATATTTTCTTTTATTTCTACCATTCATAAAATTAAAAAAAGGAAGGTTCTCTGTTTATAATGTAAAATCAAATATTTAATAGGTTTATTTAGAAATGAAAAAAAGGTGCATGCATATGATAACATTTAAGATTTTACGGCACAATGAGAACTTTTAATTTTCATACTTTAAGCACATTTCACTGATCATACTTACAAACTTTTACTTAAGTAAGGTTTTGAATGCAGGACTTAAATGCCAGTGGGGTATTTTCACACTGCAGCACTGTCTCCTAATTCCAAAATCAGGATCTTTCCCTAACCTAATGAATGTGCTTTTGTTGCATAAACCTAAGACAGGACTCTGGATGAAAACCTAAAATTCTGGTGTAAAGGTCCTGCACTTTGTACGCCTGCTATCCTCCTCAACCACCTCCTTGTGAAGCCTGCGCGGTACATGAATGTAGCGTTTCATTAGCTAAAAGAAACGTTGTCTCTGAACACAATGCAGGCTACGATTATGGTGCCGGAAATCTGACAAAAATCTCTCTTTTTTTATTCTGTGTGTGTGTGTGTGTGTGTGTGTGTGTGTGAGGTCCATTCAGATCTCTAACTGGATCACTGTGTTTAACCAAACACCAGCGTGACCTCTGACCTCTCTGGTGGAGGCAGTCACGTGACCACACACTAATGGAGCTCACACTAATCTGCAAGTTTACAAAGAGCTTATAGAAAACAGCCAGAGAGGTGGAGCGGACATCACATCAGGCAACATTTATTTACGCCAACATGTTGATGCATCAGTGTATGAACTGTCCCCTTATTTGATTATTTAAAGGTCCAATTTGATTCAGTTTTTATGTTATTTTTTTAAACCAGTTTTCCACTAAAATCTGTACAGAACTTGCACAAATCCATTAAAGAAAATAGTTGTTTACACACAAAAACATAGTGATTGTTATAAAGGTGAAGAACAGTCACACAGATATGAGAAAATGTTATATAGGTGAGAGAAGAAGTTTTAGGCCTGTAGAGAGGTTGCACTTTCAGTAGGAACTCTGAAACTCAAGATAAGAGACTCAACCTCAATTGTACTGATATCTTATTAATGGCCTGCAGTTAATGGCATAATTGAATTCAGTTATGACTCTTATTATCCAGCAATGCAGATGGATTTAATGGCTCATAAGACACAAGACTAATTTAGTTTAAGAGTTTCCTTATTGTCAGTGTTGAGGATTGTCTGCAGCTCTCTAAGTCTGTAAAGATCTTAACCATGACAGACATCCAGTAATAAATTATATTTAGTCCCTATTTCCTCTGCTGGAGTTTGCTTCTAAGCAAACAGATTCTTCTTCATCTCTGAAAGCACAAGTCTTGTTACTTACGTTTCTACAAACTAAGAATAAGTGTGGTGTAAAGATGAAAGCAGTTTGCTGTTTTTAGCTGTCGAAAGTCTGGACATCACAGGGAAACAATCCTGCAGTGAGTGCATTTGAACAGCTGGAGATCTGACATGTTGTTTCTGTTGATATGCTTTGGATTCATTTGAGTTCAGATGTTTAAAAAGGTTCAAAGTAATGAAGTGAGAACTCACCATTCTGCCCGAGTCTGAGGCTCCTGAGGGGACTAAACTCTGAGCACAAACACTTGAGTTGATCATTTACAGTCACACACATGTAAGACCCTCACACACAGTTTGAGTGGAACTGAGCATGCTCAGTAAACAGTACAGACTTCCTGCACTGTGAGTATTTTGTATTTCTGGTCTTTTACTGCCCCCTGTTGGTACTTTGAGCTAACCCAGAGGAATACCAGTTTGGGCACTTGTAGCCTACTGTGTTACATATTCAAATATTTAACAACAGATTTTGTTGTGTACTATGATTACAGCATACATTAGAAATAGTATATTACCCCAATGATGCTTCCTTTTTGGAAGGGGGTAAAGAGAGAGACAGATAAAGTTCTGGGAATTGATTTACTTTTCACCCCAAGTCAGTTTCTTTTTGATCTAACTCCTGAAGACATGTACACCAGAGACCAAAAGCACCTGTTACATATACTCTTGATGACTGCTAGGAAAATGGTGACAATAAAATGGATGAATCCACAGCCACCTACAGTGGCACAGTGGAAACATAAGCTCAGGGAGGTGTATGGAATGGAGGCTTTAACTGCTCAATTACAATTAAGGTCTGATGTCTTTGTGAGGAAATGGCTACCTATAGCAAGATACCTCTCTGACTGAGGGCACCCCACACGATGCTGTAATGTCTTAACTGTCCATTTATTTATTTTTCATTCATTATTATCATTATTCAGCTTTCTGGGCCCCAATGGCTTTTTTTTGTTTTTGTTTTTTCGCATTGTCATACATATTCTGTGATGTTGTCAAGGAATGTTCTGTATTGTGTTTTTACATGTTTAATAAAAATACAGTTAAAAAAAAGAAATAGTATATTACATGTACATGTATATTATCTTGTCTTTTTCCACAGTTGGAGTCAGAGACTCTTTAACCAAAGAAAATATTGTCTATATTGTGATGAGGTGGTAATTTTTTCCCCCATGGATCACAGGAAGAGTAGTTGTTGCCTCGGTAACAGCCAATGGGGATCCAAATATATAGGCCAGAAAAATAAATAATTAAATAAACATCAGTGGTGAAGTTAGGAAATGCAATCTGTTCTCCATAAATATTGATTATTATAATAAATAATGATCCTATGTAATAATAATAACAAAAATAACAATAATAATAACAATAATAATAATAATAACAATAATAATAATAATGATAATAATTGCAATAATTAAAAAAAAAAAATTAATTTATCTGACTGTTCAGTTATATTTTTGGTGTATTTAATCTCAGTGCACAGTGTTTCAAAACCTCTATGATACCAGAAAAATAAGTCAGGTTGAGAAATATGAGGTCACTTTATTTATTTATTATTGAAATTTATTTGTTTGACAGAAACACACACACAAAAAAACCCATCAGAATCAGCCTTTAAAAACTCACATGTAATATATGTGTAACTACTGAGTGCATAAGGTAATTAACACTCCCCGTTTTCATAAACAAAACCCAGGACTTTGCGTCTGTTACTTCTCTGTCTCCATGCATGAAACTTTAAAGGTTCAACAAACTCTGTGAAGAACTTCTCAGTTTTCAACCCTAGATGGCGCTGTGGTTTGGAAAATGGATCCACTTGAAAATAGCCTGACATCACTCCCTGTTTCCAACATTGCTGCATACTTTTACTGGACACCTTTGCTCAAACAGACCGGAAGATCTGAAATGGATCGGTGAGTTTGTTGAGAATCCACAAAACCTGAAAACATTTTATTCATCTGTTATAGTGGTGTGAGAGTCGGTATCAACACAGAGGGGATTAAGATGTCATCAGTGTCAGTAAAAGGTGAAACTAGAGGTTTGTAGGGATGATGCGCACACCTGTGAACTCAGTGTTTTACATCTTAAACATTGTCTGATGTTGTAAATTATACTTTCTTGTAGATTCATGACCCTTTGACATTTAACCTTTAACTTTATTACAACTAACTGGCTGAAATGCCACAGTATCACCAACATTCTTCCATTGACACTCACTTATACACTCAGTAGCACTGCTCTATAGTCAGACTGGATGCATGCTGTAGCATTAAGATTTTCCTTCGGCCTAAACCCTGAGAAATGACAGATCAAAAGTACATGAGCTGCAAATACATAGGAGTATCATGATAGAGAAAATGGTCAAGAAGTTGGATTTTTGTCATTTGTAAAGAGTGACTTTAGACAAGACAAGACAAGCCAAAAAATCTAACACACTATACACTTCTGATGAGGAGGTCAGCAGGTCTGTAATTCCATGTCTGCAGAGGTCATATCAGAGAAATGCCACCAAAAAAAAGATTTCACCGCTACAGTATAAAGACAAGGACCAGATTTTCTCAGGGCAGTGATCCACACACCTTTATTATTGATGCTTTATGATAAAAAAAGCATCTTTAGCTTTCATTCAAACTACAAAGTTGTTGTGGTTTTTAAATGAAACAGGTGGAGCGTGTATTTTCCAGAGGGAAGAATGCAAATCACGCAGCCACACAGATAAATCACAGACCTGCTGATGTATTTTGTCTGTATTTTTCCGTGTAATAATGAGCAGATTAAATCAGGGCTGTGGCGGTGTGTAGGGGCTCCTGGGAGCCAACGAGGCCACACTCGGGCGATTATTTCGAGTAGAGGCGCTCACATGTATTCCCCCTGCGAAGCCCTGATTACTATCCGGTTACAGCGTCCATGACAACAGCCTGCAGCTTAAAGCAACAGGACTTTACTGAGCAGGAACAGGAGCTCAGTTCAGTTCAGATTCGTAAAAGTTTGCATTGTTTGCATCCATCACTTGCTTGCAGTCTTCTTCTTCTTCTTTTGCCTTTGCTGCTACATTGTTAGCATATTGTGAAACCATCAGTGTGTGCAGGAGAACCAACAAAATGGGGGCCTTCATATAAAAACATTGTTGTTTAGCAATACCAGCTGTCAAAACTCTCAGTGGTGTTTTAATTATTTATTTATTATTTTCGATGCCCTTTGTCACCTTGCTACAGTGATGCACAAGTGTTCTCCAGGATCCAGTGACATCACTGTTAGGTGTGGTTACAGAGCACAAAGAAGATGGTGAAACATTCCATTTCAGCTTGCTGAGTTGTTACTCCTTAAAGAGTAACAACTGACACCAAAGAACTAACAGCCAGAAAGTAACAGCCAGAAAGGCCGACTGTTGCCGTTTACTCCTTAAAGAGTAACAACTGACACCAAAGAACTAACAGCCAGAAAGTAACAGCCAGAAAGGCCGACTGTTGTCGTTTACTCCTTAAAGAGTAACAACTGACGCCAAAGAACTAACAGCCAGAAAGGCCGACTGTTGTGTTGCCTCACGTTGTGTCTCAGCCAAAAAGTTGCACCTGAACACATCACAAAGACTACAGCCAGCGGCCAACTAGCATATTCTAGTCTGTATTTGTCATTCAAAAAGGGGTACTGGAAGACCGACAAGACAGATTCAAGATGCTCGTTAGCCATTCAGCACATTAATAATACAACCAAATGTTGAAAGAACAAATAACAATTACGGTACGCTAGTGAGCAATAACACAAACAATTATTAATCCAAATCCCTTTCTGTTAAAGACCTAAAAACAATAATCTTACCTGATATAGCAAGTTTGTTTCAGTCTCACTCAGCCTTGACTTGAGCAGTTTGTTTGCTTTCCTCACTTCCACTTCTCTACTCACACACTGAGCTGACCTGCCAATCAGAGTGATTTCACTCACCACTGTGCTCCGCCATCTCCCGTCCTTAAAGCTTTGAGTCTGATGGCTCCCGCTTCCCTCATCAGTTCAGAAAATTAGAAGACATGAAAGAAAATATGTTTATGTAGACGCATTTTCAACCCAGTCTCACTCCGAAGGCATCGGAATCCGGCACTTGAGCACTGACTTGAGGCATCAGACACTGGCGGAAAAAGCTGCCCTTTAACGTTGGCATGATATACGGCAGGTTGCCATTATAGTTTAATGATGCACAGCAGTGTCAGGGGGAAACGCGGCAGGAGACGAATGAAAGTTAAGGCTACAGAATCTGAGTAGGGCATCGACTTTCACCTGGGAAAGCGGTGTTTGTGGCCTCCAAGATTCTAAAGCCAAACCCTGTTCTTTTTTCCGAAATCTACCCATGTGCTTTTGTTGCCTAAACCCAACCACATGCGTTAGTTGTTGAAGGAAAATAAAACCCCTTGATTCACAGTGTTGTACCAACATAGTGCATTTATTTTGAAAGAGACAGAAAGTTAACGGTAAATTTCCTGTGAAAACAGAAGTGTATTTTGAAAGAAGACAACGCATGTAATAGGCAGAACTTAATGGCATCCCACAACGTCAACAACCAACACACTCAGGGTACCTTTCATGTTGTAAATGGACGTGGAAAGTCCATGACCAAACGTTGATATTTGACGAGGTCGGAGTGAGAATATGTTGGCATTTTGGGGAGAATCTTTCCTCCTTAACATAATGTTTTGAGTGAACAGCATTATGGAGGAGGATGTGATGTGGGGGGGGGGGGGGGGGGGGGGGGGGGGGGGGGGGGGGGGGGGGGGGGGGGGGTTGAGTGTTTGTGTCAAGAGGTGTGGGCGAGGTCAAAAATCTGTGATGGTATGATTGGTTTATAAAGTCTTTACTGGTATGACATGAACTGGTCTTTTGTTTGTTTTTCACTTAGTGGAGCTAAGTTTCAAATGTTGTCTTGTAAATTATCACATGAACACATAAATCTGTTTTTAGTGAGTTAATATTTTCACGGTTATTCCAGGAAAATTCCCATAAGCTACTGCTTTGTTTTTCTCTTTAGAGTAAAAAACAAAACAAAAATAAAGCTTAGCACCAGGAGGTTAAGTGTGTATCCACCCACTCTTCATCACAACTGTACTGTTAAAAAAAGAATTAAGAGATAAACCTTCCTTCTGCATCAATTCAGTAATGAACAATGACTCTTTAGAAAATACACATTACATTGTTTTACTGAAGCTTCCCTTTAATAGGATTTGGGCATTTAATCAGTGTTTTTGGCATTTACGTGTGTGTGTGTGTGTGTGTGTGTGTGTGTGAACTAATTAGGACCAGAAATTACCCCAAACTGTGGCTGCGTCTCC